AATAAAATAAAATTTGAAAAAAAAAAACAAAAATTTAAAAAGAATTAAAATAGAGAAATCACGAAGTGAAATAGAAAAATAAATCAATAAAAAAATTGTAATTTAAAAGTAAATTAAGTAAATTAATTTTATAATTAGAAATATATACAAACATACAAAAAAAGCTATTAGCCGAAACTAAAACAAATACAAAACTAAATAAAAATGCATTAGTTCTTCTTTTTTAACTTTTACCGTGCTTAGGCGCAGTCTGGTTGAGTACCTCCAACTAGGCGCATTAGTAATATCAAAGCTAACGGAGAAAATCTGTTGCATACATTCAGGGGCAATAGTCCTATATATATGCTTGTCTATATACATATATATCTGTCAAATACGAGCTCTATATTTGAGCAGCTGCATCCTCTAGACGGCAGCATCGAATATTTCAATCGTGTGTTGATATGATATGCATATATTCTTATATCATGAAACATTTGAATTACATGTCAATAGTTCTCTCCCGATGGATCCCCCAATCATACCGCTCCCCAGTTAAATGCTTTAGAGACATACCTTAAATTCTACATAATGTAACTAACAGATTGACTATTCAAAACTCGCATTTATTTATTATCTGCGGTGAAGAACAAACGAAATCTTATTTGTCGTCAAATATACTCGAGTAGATAATTTGATATTGTGGGCTAAAATAGTTTTTATACTGTGAGCTAATGAWGTGCTAAAGTGTATTTATATGTGAGTCTACATCTGTTTGATATTTGACTTCTGATCTGTGTGCCTGCCTTTGTGTCTGTGTCTGTCGCTGTCTCTGTGATTATACTTGTGTCAATTGATGTGCCGTGCCCAAAGAGCTGGATAAACTGGCTGTGCGATCTGTATGTATTAATAGCTATCGTGCACTGAGTAGTATATAGGAGGCATGTACACCCATAGCTAGACGCATCTGCATCTGCACACATGACGGCTAAAATATAATCAGGTTTCGTATGCATTACAAAAAGCTTTATAGACTAGATGAACAAATGTTGACAGTATTCATAAAGAGCCCGTGTTTATGGCTAACAGACGAAGGCGATGATGTCAATGGTGCTGCCTATAGGTTGATCACGGTACATACATACATATATACATATGTATATAAGGGGGGAGTGTGTGGATGGGTGCATGCTTACCTCCAGGATGGGTTTCTTGCAGCCGAAACAGGTGCCCGAGTAGTTGCTCACGAAGCAGTCCGAGCACACCGGCTCTCCGTTCTGTATGTTGAAGGTGGCCTCGGTGATGGGCTTCTGGCAGTCCTTGCAGGCGAAGTGCTCCGGATGCCAGGTCTTGCCCAGAGCCGTAATGATGCGCTGCTGTATGACCTCATTGCACTTGTGACAGATCGACTCCGAGTCCGACTGCGTGAATATTCAGATAACAATACAACTTGCACTTAATTAAAATGAAAGTCACGTCGGCAATTCGTTCAAATATTTCATAATTTCATTTTTCCCAGTTCAGACTGTAAGAACAAAGTGAGTGGAATGAATGGATGACTAAATGTGAGAGAATGAATGGGCTTATAGACTATATAATATATATGCACTTATGTGTACATTCCCCAAAGGGGCATGATATTATGCCTTGAGTTCATAAACCGCAACAACAACAACAACATTGAATTTGAGTAACTCACAGCGCTGACCACAAAACACTTTTCTGTTTTTGTTTTAATAACAATAACAATAACATTAACAATAACAATCAAATGATGAGCATCAGCGCTTTAGTATTTTGATTGCATATGCTTATTATATGGCCATAATTGTGTTTATCCAGTACATATATATATATATACATATACATACATATATAATCGAGATACATATATGTATGTGTGTGTATGATGTTAAATAGATGAGCAAATGGAAGCTTCGACATTTTCTGTTCATTAATTAAACATCAAAGATAATCAAGTCTTATAATTATTTGTGTAATTTATACATTTATAAAACTATAGTATAGTATTTATAACATCNTGATAATGTAAACAGCAATTATAATAATGATGACGAAGACAATGGTAATGCTAATGAAAATATCGATAACAATAACAATGACAATGACTGTGATTATGAAGATTGACACTGAGAAAATCATAATAACAATAAATATGGCAATAACAATGGTAATGACAAATACCAATGATAATGATAATGTTAATGAAAATGACAATAACAGCGACACAATGCCAATGACTATGAAAATCACAATGCTTAATTGTTTACCCATCGATTCCTTCAGTATACCAAATGAAATCGAGATACATATATGTATGTGTGTGTATGATGTTAAATAGATGAGCAAATGGAAGCTTCGACATTTTCTGTTCATTAATTAAACATCAAAGATAATCAAGTCTTATAATTATTTGTGTAATTTATACATTTATAAAACTATAGTATAGTATTTATAACATCAACAAAAACACGCTCATAACAGGAAATCTAGTATTTTCATATACTAGATTTGAATCTACAGTAAAACAAGTGAGAATAGTGCAATCGGGCAATACTCGTTCTCAGCTCCAAAATGTTGAAATTACTTCTAGCAAATCCTTAAATTAAGTTAATCTAACAAGTTTTGAGAATCTAGCTCCAAACAGTATTTTCTGATTTGACACGTCACACAAGGGCGTGAAAGAGGAGGAGTCGACAGTAACGCAAGCTGAGGAAGCTGTAAGAGATACCACTCATTTTCGATTATCCATGCACCAAAGGAAGTTGATTTTTTTCATGTCATAGAGGAGGTCAACAGCGGTTCCCAGCTATTTGCCACGCCCTCTATAAGCGTAATATGTACAAGCTTATCTATGTTAAAAATTTCTAGATTAATGTTAAATAGAGCTGAGTTTGTAAATTGTAAAGTCTGGTCCAATTTGCCACGCCCCTCATTGCCAAATATGTATATGAGAATCCGCTCTTTCTTAAGTGCATTGAGAAAATCCAAACTGTTTATATAATATGCTGAGAATATGTGCCCAGTTTCGAGGCTCTATTCAGATACCAGCAAAATTAATTGAATTGAGTTCATAAAAACAAGCGTATAAAAAGCCAACCAATCTAATATTCTCTTTTCATGTACAGAAAACATGTTTAAATCATTCAATAAATAAAGCAAAATTATGCACAAATTAAAAATTTAATATTGATTAATTTCTATTCACTGTTTGCCATAAAATCGCTTTCAATTCCCGAAATATCATACTCTGAGTGATAAATGCATACTAACATTGCAATTAATTCAATTAGTTAAAACATATTTTATGGCCAAGATTAAACCTGAAATCAGCTGATTTAATGCCATTCACTTAATTCAATTCATGAAATGTTCCTATAAAATTCCAAATGAGAAATGATCAAATCAAGAAGTTTCGGCTTTTTAAATGTATTCGCCTTGAACTTTACACTCGGTTCAGAGAGATTGATGCGGACAGATTGTAGCACTTAGCGAGATGTTTGGAAGGCAATTGCAATAAATTTCATGGTAAATACTTGGCCTAGGCTATAATAGCTGACTATCTATATATACTTATAAGTATAATTTCAGGTATATTGCGTATGGCTGGCATTACTAATCCGATACTATCTGGATTTATCATCGTTTCGCAGGCACGTAATGGACGTTTCGGTTTTCGTCGGTTTTCCATGGCTGACCACCATATTGAGTGGAATCGCCCACTAACCGCTTGGGCCACCCACGGTGGTGTGTCATGGCTAAGCACACATGGCGTCGAGGCTCGTTAGCCGAGTTGCAAACCATTGCGAGGTGTCGCTACAGGCGTCAACTGATTGTCGCTGATAACGGTTATGCAAAGGCAACAAAAACAAAACGCAAGCAGCAAGGCGACGTCACCACATAACGCAAGCCACTAACCAAGTGGTAAACGGTAAATGGCAAACGGTAAACGTCAAGCGGGCGCATATAATGAAAATCGTTGCTCATAAAAATGAAAAATGGCAGCAGCTCGTAAATTTGCCCAATTTACACGCTGCACTTTCAGCTGACAGAAAGAGTGAGAGAGAGGGGTAAACGCGCTCGCCGTTATGGCTTTTGCTGTTCTATTTACACATGAGCTTGCTTGTGTGTGTGTGCGTGCATCCGTGCGTGCATGTTGCTGGCAGGGAAGTCGACGTCGACGTCGCCGCTCACCAAATTTAATTTGTCCGAATTAAATGCACATTAATTTTTCGGCTAGCAATTGCCAGCACTTTTGCTGCCTGACTAGCGCTGCCTGTTGCTGTTGCTGTTGTTGTTGCTGTTGCAGTTGTTGTTTTACTTGCTTATTTAAAGTTTGCGCCAGATGTAGCAACAGCAACAACAACAGTAATAATGAAGGCGGCGACGTCTCACTTAGATCATCGCTAGAGTTAGAATTGAATTAAACAAATGAACGCAAATCGACACGCAGTGAGAGCGAAAGAGAGTAAAGAGGAAGAGGTAGAGGTAGAAGAAGAGCGAGGGCGAGCGCGAGAGCCGCATTCGCGCACACACACTCCACATACTAAGAGTGCCCTACCATAAAAGAAAACAGTAACAACAACGACAACAACAACAACATGAACAGCAGCAAGTCGGAGGCAAACAAACAAGAAGCAGCGCACAACTTAACGAAACATTTTGGCGTCCATTGGCCGGCAAACAAAAACAAATGAAAGTAAAAAGTAAACAGCAAACTCAGCGATGACGCACTGTTAATACTCTTTACGATGGGAATGCTTCGGTAGAAATGTTAAATTGCAATGATTTGTTACAGAGTGGATAGACTATCTGCAATCTATGCAGATTATGGATAGCTTATATATTAATACACATACATACATATGYATGTATGTTGTATATAATTAGAGGTTAGTTCTAATAAGTCTCGCACGATAAGTCAATGCGTATGCCAAATTGAAGAGAGTCGCGCTGGAATACCCTAACAAAGTCTTAGAGTCGACATAAAATGAATTTTGTATATAATATTGCTACCCGAAACAATGCTACCAAGTATTCGAGCAATAAAATGTTAATTAAAATAAGAAAGCTCTAGTCGAGACTGCTCGACTACGAGATCCCCTGAACCCTTGGAGCAATAGATATTTCAATAATTTTTCGCGACTTTTAGCTTACACAAGAAACACGCACACACACACACAGACAGGCACGTACGCACACACAGGCACACATACACACACACGCATACAGACACACATACACAAACACACACGCATACTCACACAAACGCATACACACACACACATACACACACATACACAAACACATACACACACAAGCACCCACGCATAAACACGCATGGGCTGCAGTGTGCGCTTACTATGAGAACTTAATTGTTTAATAACTTTTTTTATGGACGTACGATCTTCATGAAACTTTCAGATTATGATTATAACATGAATATGCATGTAATTGCCAAAGCACAAGTCTCTAGTATTTGAAATACGCTTTTTACAAAAGTGAGGGTGAGGGGGTGAATTTAAGGGTGGGGGGTAAATTTTAACAAAAACCGAAATTGTATAAATTGCATATAAGCATACATTAAAAATTTGGAGACTCTAGCAATAAAGGTGTAGAANGTGTGTGTATGTGTTTGTGTATGTGTGTGTATGTGTATGTGTGTGTGTATGTGTGTGTGTGTATGCGTTCGTGTGTGTATGCGCGTGTGTGTGTGTATGTGTGTCTGTATGCGTGCATGTGTATGTATGCCTGTGTGTGCGTAAGCTGAAAGACTCGAAAAATTATTGAAATATCTATTGCTCCAAGGGTTCAGGGGATCTCGTAGTCGAGCAGTCTCGACTAGAGCTTTCTTACTTGTTTGTTTTAGTTTAGATAGTACTTCATAAAACTTTAGGAAGTAATGAGAAGAAAAAATGTATACATTTTAATTAAAATTAAAGAAAGGAAAAACTAAATCTTTTTAAAATTACTCCAAGTGCATATATCACGTGTTACTTAAACTTTTTTTATTTAATTAAATAAAAACATGTTAGTCTAAATATTGTTAATTACTTTTTCATTCAATAAAAATAATATATAATTTCAAATTATTTTTGATGCTATTTAGAGAGTCGTTCGAACTAATAGAATTTATATATGTGAGTGATACATTTTTGATTCAGTTTCAGAGTGTTTCTGCGGCTCACCTTTTACACCTGTGTGTAATGTGTCGCTGTTTTGCATTGATTGGATTTTGAGCTGTTATCAGCTAATTGGCGCAATCAGAGTGAGAGCCGCCTAGGTAGCCAAATGAACAGAAGCAACAAGAGCAACAACAACAACAGCAGCAAAAGCAATAGCAACAGCCACAACAACAAATAATAAAGTAAACAAGCGTAAACAATTTAGCCGGCGAAGTTTTCCCTTGAAAAGCCAAACAAAGCGCAGTAAGTGAAAACAATTTATTTCAATTTTTGTTGAATTTATATTTTATAGTTTGCTTATTCAAATGCGATAATTAAAATATTGCGCGCATGATTCACAAAGCACACATACACACACGCACACTCTCTCCCACTCTCCTTGTTTACCTCTTTCTCGCTCGCTCTCTAATTGTAATATTGTTATAGCTGCTGCTGCTGCTGCTGTTATTGCCCAGAGGCCATCAATCAATGCTGTCAATCAACGAGGCGCTATGTTTAGCCATACAAATTATTGCTTTCGGCCAACATTGCGTATAAGTAATTGCCATTTGAGCCACGCCGGGGCGCGGCTCGGGCGGCTGGGGTGGGTGGCACTGTCGCTCTGCTCAAGATCTTAGCAGATCACTTAACACTGGTCATTGACCCTGACACACAAAAACCCGACTACATATGCTACGCAAGTATACATGTATGGATCGACATGGCGCATTATTTCTGTACGATGTCTGATCCAGCTATAGAGCACACAGTCCATAAGTCGATTCAACTCTTCTTTATGGCCCACTAGACTGGGCCATACCAATTCAGTTTAAGGCCCATTAAGGACAGTCGTAAAATAATCAAACGGCAATTATTTGACTTATCTCAATTGGTCTACTCAAATCACTTTGCAGCATTTGTAATTGTTTGCTCAAGTGTTAAGCAATTTGAATTTGAAATGCGATATTTAAACAGAATTTATAATTTTATTATTATTGCATTCATCAAAATAATTTGCTATTTTCGCCGCATTTGCAGTTGACTATGTAATTCTTTAAATTCTTTAATTTAGAATTACAAATCGATATTAGTTTTATTTTCGACTGCACAATACCCACTCGTTCAATTTGCAAAACTCTTGAACTTCAACTACTATGGTTTCTGAGATGCCTTAATAAAATTATAGTATGTAATAAAATTTTGACATTTTATAATTCGACAATATTACATATATGTGTCAAACCGAAATGAAAATAAATATAGTCATTTAATTTTCGTGAGTGAGTATTAAAACTAATTTAAGACTTTCAATTGAATTTCCAATTCCTCATTCAATTTTATGTACAAAGGTCATTTTAAATATCTATTTGTATAAATTAATATATATATAATATAAAGTATATTTTG